GAATTGGTTTAAAGGCCCAGAAATCAAATACTTCAGGGAAATTCCTAAGTAAATATTTCTGAATAATAGCAATCTAGCCAATGGCCCATATTGATAGACTGCATGGTTTTCGAAGTTGGATTGACATTCACTGGTCTGTAATGCTGAAATGAGAGTAAACAAAATTCCTTGGCCAGTTTCCTCAGAATAGACTAAAACTTGATCAAAGTGAAAATGTATTGAGTTTTGAAGTCAGTGCTTTAGTTTAAAATGCACTGTCAAATGGCAAATCCAGAGCTTTCGTGAATTTTGCTGTAGGGCAGTTTTTAAATGGCTCAATTTGCTTATGAAGTGTAAAGAAAATAGCTTTTTCTTTCCAAGCTTTAGACATTCTGGTTAGAAGGACAAAAGGATTAACTAATTGTGAAGACAAAAAAATCTCATTCTGAGATGTAGAAAAATAATTTTGGAGTGTTAAACCACTACTGATAGTAATCCACTATCCTTGTGATTTTGTATGCTAGGAATCATTCAGTTAGAGGGGATTTTCCCCCAATGTGATCTCTTTTCAAATAACCTACTGTTGCATCTAAAGTAGAGGGATTGTGGGAACAACTCCCTTAAGTAATTTACACAGGCAACATAAGGGTTTGGTTACTCTTTAGAGAGAACCTGTTAGTTCCTTTGTTACAACTGGTTTACGACTAAAAGTTTTTCTTGCTGCCCTACTTATTTTCCCTTGCTTTTAAAATTCTCCAATGATTTTAATTAAAGTTGCCTTAGACTTGCAAATTTGGTACACTTGCATCACTTAGGTCTTCACTTAGTTAAGTTAGGTTTTCTAAGTCCTGAGAACTCCTAATATGGATGTTCTTTCTCTTTCTTACATATATATTTTCCAAGAGACAGAGAAACAAAAAACTCCAAAAAGTATTATGGTAAGCTGCAGTTAAGGTTGAAGGGTAAAAAACCATAAGAACGTTGTAATTATTCCAATAGAAGCATTACAAACCCAGGCAAAATTAATTTTAAAATTTAAAATATAATAAGGTATGGAAAAACACAAGGCATCTAAATGACCTTACCTATGGCCTGTAATATCACAAGTGGGGAAAAGCACTGTTTTATTTTTTAATTTTAATTTAATTTTTTGTATATTTTCAGCTGTATCCAATTTGGGTCTTTAAACACTAAAATACCAACATAATTGTATGGTTATTGTATGGTGTCACTATCAGGCAGAGTTAAGATTATTTGGGTGCCGAAATGTGTATTACCATACCTTAACACATCTGTATTTCATTTAAGATTAACGCTAATGCTGAATTTGTAATTTTTTTGATTTTCTATTCTTGAAAAACAACCCCCTTCCTCCCCAAGAAACAGAAACAACCAACCCAGAAAGAAAAGGGAAAAAAAATACCTCACACCAAGCAAACAAAAACAACCCGGCAACCTGGGAAATTCCATGCAAAACACTGGTGAGAATGTGAAGTTGCACAATTAATCTCTCAAAAGTCCAGAAATGCCAAAGTTGAAGTTGCATGCCTAAACTTAACTTTGCTCTGTTTATATGCATTACAATACAGTCCTTAATGAATTTCTCAAAACAACATAGCATATGTTTTGTTCTTTTGTGACAGTGCTTATATTATTTTTGAACTTAATGTCATCTTACGTTAGGTACAAAGTTGTTGCTATTATAAACCTGACACTAGAACACAATGGATGTCCATGCTTCTGCTATAATTACTATATCCTCATATCATCATAATGGTAATTGAATTGTGTACTGATGAAAAATGTCCTTGATTCTTTGGATTCTCCCCTGGGGAAGTGGATTTATAATAAAATTCTGTTTCACAGTAGGAAGTGGTGAAAATAGTTTGAGTCAAAAATAATTGTTTAGACTTCACTTTGGTTCAGTTATTTAGATTATTGGCTTCAGAGACATTTTGAAACTAATTTTAGATCCTGGAGAAGATACTTATGAATACTTACTTTATTTTTTATTTGTAGTTTGGCATTGCCTGTTATGTTTGTGTAGTATGGCCACAATTTCACTTAGCCTTAACCTGCTCCTGTTAAAGTAGATGAGATTTAACAGATATTGGGGCATGCTCTACTTCACTACCACTGACCTCAAGGGTAAGAAAATGGGAGAGCTATGGCAGGTCAGCCAGTCTTGTGCTAAGAAGCATAGCACTCATGAGTGAGAATCCTCCATGGGTAGCACTGTATGTTTAGCGAAAAAGTATAACCAAGAGTAACATTTGGTGCAATTGGATGAAAAATTCTGGAATCTTCACTGAATATTTTAAGCCTTAAATATCCAATAATATGAAACAGGTTCAACTGAATGTGGGTCAGAATGGCTGTGATGTTAAGGAAAGTTAGTGTACCTGAAAATGGATGGAGCTAAATGGCCTTCATTATACGGTTACCAATTCCTTTCTGTTTATCTGTAACTTTTACACTGGTCCCAATAGTTCAGCCAGCTTGTCCAATAATTGCATACTCTCATACGTCCCTCAGAGGAGGTTTTTCTTCCTGGCTTTGGAGTTTGTAGTTTTCTTATTCACATGTAGAGTGAATTGGGATAATATTCCACACATTATTTTGCCATTTGAATTTGTCTAGAAACCATTGTGTGGTAACCAGGGGGTTTTATATAGCAAATAAGGATTTGGGGGCAAATCCATCATGGAGCTGTGACAGTTTATCTTCTCTGAGAGTCCTGTTTTGTGATCAGTTTAGGTCATAAGCTCTTTAGAAGAATCAAGGGGCTGACCAGTAGCTGAAGTAATCACCCATCGGGAATAGAGGAGAGAATATAGAGTCAGGTTATGGGTTAGGTCAGTTGTCCCCAACCTTTTTGTGGCCAGTAGCAATTCATGTTTTCAGAAGAGTGTGGTGGGTGCCAACAATTTTGCAAGGCTTATTTTGTATTTGTACATTAAATAATATGAAAAACATCATATTTAATATTACATAATATATGAATCCAGAGAGAAGCCAAAGAGAAGCCGTGAGGACAGAGAACACCAGCACCCGCAGCCCCAGAGTACTCTGTCCCTGTCAGGCATGGGGCCTCAGCTTCTCTCCCCTGCTGGACACTAGGCGGGCGCACATAAATGCCCCGGCGGGCACCATGTTGGGGACCACTGGGTTAGGTGGTGCACAATATGCAACATGTTATTTCTTAGTTTGCTTTCAAAGTATGTGGTAAGGGAAGGATTTTTGAGGAAGGAGTTGAAAGAGCAGGAGTTTGTCAGGTGTACAGGATCAAAGGGAACATTCTAGGTTTGGGGCAGGGGAGGTGAAAACGGGTACTTGTGGAAGGGAAAAGTGGGGGGGGGAGGCATGGAGGGAGGCAAAAGTGCTAGAGCACATGGCCTGAACAGAGGAGTGGTAGGAAAAATGAGAGTTGTAGACAAGGGCAGAGTTGGGAGGAGCCTTGCAAGCAAAAATGAAGGGGTTAAAATAATTAATTGATATAAAACTAGTAAAGAGATGTGTCAAGATGGTTGATGTAGTCAGAGGAGTGGGTGAGGGAAATGAATTTGGTGTCATTTTGAATAGACTGGAGGGGAGCAAGGTGACCATTGAGAAGATGGTTACTCTATCCTAGGTGGAGATTATCAAGGGACAGTTGTGGGATTTGACAGTAGAGTTGAAAAGTAGTGGATGGGTTCTGAAAAAATGTTGTACACCAAAAAGATGTAGAATTTAGCAACAGTCTGAATGTGAGAGGTAAAGGAAAGAGAGCCCAGTAGGGCAAGTCTGAAGATCAGAATTATATTCATAATAAATTGTTTAAAAATCTGTTTGCCAGAATATAAAACATCCATTTAGCTGTTATCCAGTAGCTGATGCATAATTGCCTCTAGAGTTCGAAGGTAGCTATTGATTGGTTATTGTTGACTTAGAAGTGATTAAATCTTGGACTTGTAAGTAGGTTTGTGCTGGTTATTAAAATAAGCTTGGTTCTACATCATTTAAGGATAATCAAATGTGTTTGATTAATCTTATGCAATCATTTGATTCTGCCAGTTTATTTAAAGGGATACCTCTCAAAATATGTCAACATTTTTTTTCATCAATCCAGAGACAGGTTGTATTTTGTGCTTTAATTATCATATTCGCCTTCTGGGAGGGGAGGTCTTAATTCCTGCCCTTACTGCATCCTATTGATTTAGTTTTGTGACACAATTTGCCACTTCTTGCAGTCTGTGGAGTCCTTTTTTCTTGTGTTTTTTTTTTCTCGATTACCTTTCCAACAACAGGTGAAAACTCAGCCCAACAGAACACTTTCTTTCCTTCCTTCACTTGCCAACACACGAGTCTCTTCCAGGTTGTTGATCTAAACAGATGGATTCCCAGCATGGAAACCATGACGGGGATGGATTTTACAGAAGTGGTAATCATGAGAGAACTCACTTTTAACTATTCATCTTGCATTCCACAGTCACAGAACAAACTATTACCATGCTTGTAAACTGACAAATTTTTATTTTTAAATCTAAACATCCATATAATACGCAGGTAAAAAAAGCAAAAGTTCTGTCTTTATAAGCATAACACTTCTAAAGCACCTTATTTGAAGAAACTATATTGTTTCTTCACTTGCTCTAGGCCTAATAAATACAAGAAATCCACAAAATGAGCCCTCAGTTAACAACAAATAAAAATGAACAATTTTACTACAAAGTTGTAAAGACAGTTGTCTAAAATACTTTTGCTATATTAAAATGTTAATTAACATTAAAATTCTTTCTATAGTCAAGACCATATGAAATGTGTAGACAAAAACCCAGTTTGTTTCTTAAATGATGAATGTCATGGTTTTTGGTTTGTTTCTGCTGCATGCCACTGTCGTGTTAGCCCATACATTGTACCTACCAGTAAAGTTTTTTAAAAATCTATTAATACAGATTTGAAAGGTCCTTGCAAGTGTAAGTGTGTGTGTGTGTGTGTGTGTGTGTGTGCGCGCGCGCGAGGGGGGGGGAAGAGGGATGAGAATCTCAATGGTGAAGAGTATGAATTGATCACGGCAGTGGACCACAACCAAGTTTCATGGTACATACATTAAATAGATAATACTTGGTTGACCACATGACCCAACAGGAAACCCAGGGGCCACATTCTGCAACCTTTATTCATGTTAAATTGTATATACTCAGGCTAGTAATCCCATTGAAGCCAAGTGCTATTCAACCTCAATAATGTTTTCAGAATCCATTCAATTCTCTCATATTGGAAAATAATTGTATTTCACTGTTTTGATGTAGAGTTCTTTAGAACCCAATAGAAATGTCAGTATTCTGCCATCCAGCAAATGAAATGGAATCGGATATAAACTAAAATTAATATTGCAAATGGTGGGAGAGGAGGAAAATCACAACAGGAATACAAACTAGAGGAAACAGAGGAATCTCTTGGATTTCCATTGACATACTGTCCATCGAACAAGCACTAGTCATGCTCCAAAGGAAGCCTTTTTTGAGGAAAGGGTCAGCTGGATTAGAAGATCCAGCTCTTGAATAGGTTAATGTAACTGACTACATCAACAAAAGGTGACACACTAAAAAGCTATATATTAGCAATAAAATAGCAGGCAGTAAGGATTGTTCACATAAGCCAAGAGACGGAAGATTACTGCATGAAAATGAGAAAAAGAATTGGGGAAGATAAATTAGTATGTTAAAATAGATCTAAGGGAACGTCCACCCTTTAAAGATCTAATAGCTTGGAGTAAGAACATCACCCCTCCAACATCTATAAAGTTAGAAAACATACAACAGTTCCTTTTATCATTTCCTCTTTCATACATAGGCATTCCTTATTTTAATCAGCCTGCCTCAATTGAGCTTATTTAATAAAAAACTAGCCTATGAGAATTCTTAACGGTACCCCCATTAATTTCCCTAAACACCATACTAGGTTTCTAAATGATTATGCTCAAAATACTTTAACTTTTGGGGATTTTTTCATAAGTGATAGTTTATGTAAGAAATATCCCATCAAAATTGCAATCAGAATGATAGTCAGAAAAGCTATCAGCGTTGTCCAAGCATGTATGTAAGACTTTGGGAGGGCACCAGTGACATATACACTGACAGTTGCAGACAATTCACAGTAACTATATAATTTGTCCACCACAATGGCTTTAAAGATATAAAAGCCATTATAGTGGGAAAAAACAATCCTGTTCTTTTCATTTTGACCAAGAATTTGATACTTGGCTGAGGGTGATACTAATTTAGGTCCATCGTGGTTCTTACAGCTTTCATAGTTCATTCTGCTCCATGCAGTGTATGGATTTGGAGAATCTTGCTTTTGCATCAAAGCAGTCCAATTCTGAGGTTGAGAGATACAATTGGCTTCAGCAGCTGTCAAGAGATAATCATAATTATACATTCCATTGACTTCAAACACAACAAAGTCAGCAGCAACATACTCCACAAATGCATCATTTTCCCACAGCTCAAGGATTGGCAGCCAAGGAGTATCATAATACAGCAGAAGAGGACATCCCAGCTCGTTATACTCATATAGAACTTCAAGATCACTTTGACCTAACTGTGGTGTGGCAAGAAAATGTGGGTCATATAAATTGTGGCTGATAGTATAAGTGAAGTTATCTTGCAGCGTGCCTTGATTAAACAGGCCTTTGCTGCATGCTGTTGTGTTTTTAAAAACTTTAATGTGTTTAGTAGGTGGGCAACCTACATTGATAAGTGCAGACAAAGGATGCATATCAATGCAGCTAGGGCCTTTGTTGGGGATGTCCACAGTAAGGACAGACATCCCGCCAGAGAGGAAGGTGTCACTGAAATGAGGTTCTGCCATGCCAGAGAAGCACTGCTGCAGCATCTGCATGTGCAAGCTGTACTTGGTGTTCCCGTCATATGTGTACCCATCCTCTGTTATATATGCCTGGAACCCTAGCGCATGGGGGTTGCTCACAGTCACCATTGGAAAAGCCCCAGTGCCCGGCTTTGGCACAAATGTGGCACTAAAGTTCAGCTTCTGGTGCATGTCGATATAATGGATCTTGTTGTGGAAATGACCCTTGAGGATCTCAACTGGGCAGTCTTGCAGAGGTGGCCAAAGCTCCATGAGCAGCAACTGCATGTTCAAGGTGCATTTCTGGAAGTTATAGGCCCAGGAATTATTGGTAGGTTCAGGGCTCAATATGGTGAGCATCCCTACTTTGTCAAACATCAGCACAGCATTGCACAGGCCTTTCTCGCTGCTGTTGCGCTCTCTAACCTGCACGATAGTTGTGGAGACCATGTCTAGGCTGCCATGGAAGAGCCGCTGGTCCCGGGTCAGGACTGCAATCTCAGTGTTGCTGGTGGCCACATGGCAGAGGCCGTCGCCAGGGAAAGGAGGGGAGGTTCTGGAAAACGCCTTTGTCTGCGCAGTCACTGGCTCCACAAGCAAGCCGTTATTGGTGGAGATCAGCAGAGTGTCTTTGGTCCAGAGGATGGTGAAGCCCCACAGGAAAGGGTTCTGGATACCCCGGACATCAGGGCCCCCTGTGGACTTCAGGTGGAAGCCCAGGGAGATGTGGCTGTACATGTGGCTCATGTTGCCCCCGGTGTATGAGAAATAGGCTCCTCCTCCTTTCCCTTCCCCATCACTGTGGGTGCGGTTGATGAGCAACCCAGTCTGGGAAAGGGAAACAAAATTGTAGACACCAAGCAGCACCCCTTGCAGTTCTGGGCTCAGCTTCAGAGCGGTGAACATGTAGCCCCCATCCTCTGACAGGAAGATGTTGCTTTCGGAGGCTGAATGCCCAGTCTCATAGGCAAAAATAGTTAGACTGGTGTCCTGGCAGGCTGGGTCCTGCCCTGGGTAGCAGCAGTGGGTGTTGGAGAGCTCAGTGACCAAGGAATCTATCCCCTGTACTGGGAGCCATTCCTCCTCCCCAGCTATGAAGAAGTAGAGATAGACCTGTCCATTTATCACCATTACTAACTGATCCTTCTTCACAAAGGCTGCAGCACTGACTGAGGCATTTGGGGTCTCTAGCTCAGAAGGGATGGTCAGGGGCAGGAGGCTGGTTTCAAATCCATCTGTGCTGAGGAAAACCTTTTGTCCCAGGTACAGGGCTGGACTGGGGCGTCCCCAAGGGTCACCATCATTACATGGGTACTGTAGAAGGGAAGGTTCAGTGCGAGTGAAACTCAAGACAGTGCCTGACACCTTGTCTCGGGCACTGAAGGACCGACCTGAGTACACTAGCCTCTCATCAGTGCATGACCAGGAATCAATGCTTCCTATTGCAAAACGCAGCCACAGCCAGAGTTCAGCTAGTGAGAATGGCCAGGAGTGGGGCATTTGTTGTGCTGTTATCGGAATATCTCCTCCTACCAACTTAAGCTGGAGGTTGATACCTCATGCTCCTTGTGGACAACAGCTCAAAATGGCTCCTGGCTCTGCTCCCTCCCTGCTGTAAAATAGAAGGAAGTTCCGAGAGGCAGTTGGTGGTTGGGCTGGGCTGGGCTATGGGTTGTGTGTGGCTGTTGTTCCGAGTGTTTCCTATACAGTCTCTGTCATGTGTAAATGATGTCTGAGGCTTGCAGTTTTGTGGCTGATTGTACACTACCAACAATGGCCCCTTCTGCTAGATTTACCTCACATTTGCTCCACCCCATTGGGCAACAGCCCTAGTAGTCAGTTGTGCCTAATGTTAATTTTCTATAGGGTTTGGTACTTGTCACTGGTGCTCATGATCATAGAATCACAGCAACTATGGACAATGCCCCCCACCAATAGTTTCTTGAGTCTCATTCCTTCCCAAGGGGCAACAATCCATAATGACCTCAATGAGCAACGACCCCCAGAGGCTAGTAGCACTGCATTCACCTCAACTGTGCTTCCCTAATCCCTTTGTCACCGTGCCTGGTTTGGGTCACATCTGAAAATGCCAAATTCAGGACAGACTGTAGGAAACAGGGCAGACACCCCAAAACTGGTGGTTTAGTCTATCATTAGAGGTCACCAAGCTAGAAACAAAAGTGACCTACTGCATCGCTAAACTAGTTAACAAGGAGCCAAAACAGTCACCAATAGGCAATCCAGCCCCTATCACTACCCAGACAACTGGACCTTTGTGACGTAAGGTTATTAAAACCAAAAGCACCACATGTAAGGTTTTTTCCAGTTCCAGAGAACCAGCCACACACCCCAGGTCAATCTATACTTCAGATCTTACCAAATATTATGCTGCAGCCTAAACTAAACATTATTCAATAAAAAAGAAAAGAGAGTTATTAATTGGTTCAAGGAATCATACACCTTACAATTGGTTTCAGAGTCTGTAGGTCAGGATATTAGCAGTGATGGTAATTCTGCTAGCTTGCGATAAATCTCTCTGGGTCACACAAGAGACTGGGGGTGGGGGTGTCATCAATCCTTTTATTCAAAGCTTCCCTTTGCTAGAAATCATAGTCCAGAGACATGGAGCAGGAATAAAGTCTGAGAATGATGGCACAGTGCAATTGATACCCTTAGTCCAGCTGCCTGGAAAGTTACTGGTGCAAACATGGAGTACTGGGTCGCATGTGCCTTGCTGAGCCATGAGGCATTCATTGCCTAGGTGCTGCCAGAAGAGACCTCAGGAGGGGTTCCTGGAAGAACTGATTCTGCTTAATGGGTCATCAAGCAGACTGGCTAGCCAATCTGTTCTGTGCAGGGTTTAAATTCTCAGAGATTATGTCCAGGAGCCCTCCCCCGCCACTTCCACGTCCCTTCGGCACTCCTGGCTTCAGCTGTGGGGTGGGGGACAGGGCCGGCACCAGCTAAGGAAGCAGGTGCTTGGGGCGGCCAATACAAAGGGGCGTCACTCCGTCCGCTATTGGGGAGGCACGTCCGGGTCTTCAGCGGGAATTTGGTGGCGGATTCCTCATTCCCTATCTTCCTCTTTGAGCTGCCGCCGAAGAGGAAGAGAAGGGGTGAAGGATCCGCCGCCGAACTGCCGGGGCGGCAGAAAACCTGGAGACGGCCCTGGTGGCGGGGTGGGGGGAGGTTGGGGCTTTAGCCCTTGGGGGAGGCACCAGGGCTCAGGGATTTAGCTTGGGGAGGGGCGCCATGGCTTGCAGCTTTAGCCCTGCAGAGGCGGGGGCATGGCGGCTCAGGGCTTCAGCCCCATGGGGTGCACTGGGGTTCGGGGTTTCAGCCTGCAGGAGGTGATGGGGCTCCTGCAGGTTTTAAAAAATGTACCAGCGCTCGGCTCCAGACAGCTCAGGCTGAATTTAAGCCCTGGTCTTGGGGGTGTTAACCAGAAACACAACAGGTTTGAGAAACAACTCAAAGTTTCATAACTTCATATATAATGATACATGCATATAAACAGGATAATCATACTTTAGCAGACTATAGCTTTTCCAGTGATACCTTAACATGAAATACTTTGTACAAGATTTATCACAATTGTGCAACAGTAGTAATACATCAGTGATGATACATCATTGTAAACATGGTCACCTCTCTTTTCTACAGTGTCACACCTTTTGAAGCTGATCCCATTGTGAAACTTTGTCCCTCTGATGTGTGTGTACCTTAGCAGTGCAGCTCACCAGCTGCCATGTTAAGATCCCTCTTTGGACTGAGTGGCTCTTATTGTTAGATTTGTTGGTGTATTTCCCCTGTCACTTTTGATTTTATTACTGGATTATTGCCAATTATATTACTGAAAATAAAGTGGCTTCATGATGCTCTCTTGGGTTCTTTGAGCCAGCTGTATTCATGGTTGGGGAGGAGGGTTACTGGTGAAATATAATTTTAACAGTAACATTGAAATATTTTTTTGAAAGAAAAACTGAAGATTTAGCACTTGCATCTAGATGTCTGAAATGGCTGTAGGGTTAAGCATCCCTGCTACAAAACCCCAATCATAATGTCTGATGAATCAGCATGTATTTTCTAAGGAATTCACATGGCTTGAATAATGTCTCACAGGAGAGGAGGTTGAATAATGTTAGCCAACACAATCATGTAACTTAATGTATATCAAGATCTTCCAGACAACTCGAAGTAAGGGGTGGGGATGAGAAGACACTGTAGCCAGCAATCACAATTTTATCACAAGTGCCACTATTTGGTGGGTGTTTTTTATTTTTTTAATAAGTCTCATGATTTTCTAAGCTCTGCCTTCTATTTGATGAAGTTTTGCCTTTATCTAAAATGGCCACCGAGGCCTGCTCCTAGCAATGGGATTGAAGCCATAGGCTGCCCTGTCCCTTTTTTTTTTTTTTTTT